ATAAAGAAATGTTTTGATAACTCAAAAAGAAAAGTGAGAAATAAATTAATTGACGGAGAAAATAATAAGTTGGTATTATATATAGGGGTGTTTCTTTGTAATGTGTTATTGGCTTATTGCTGATAAATACTTTTCACTTATAAGTTGATTATATGTGAAATAATATTCGTTCGCGAAAGTACAACGAATTAAATTAGAGATAAATTGTTTGTAAAAATATTCATAAATGGTAATGGACAGTTTGATTAATAATCTGGCTAAAATATTGAAATAAAAAGTTAACTATAAAATAAGTAACTAAGGCTTACTTATTTTTTAAGTTTATAAGCAGCTTATAAACGCACAAAAATATGCCATCAATTTTCTTAGAAATCAAACATACCTTATAAATAATTTTGACAAGCTTATTAATACAGAAAAACACATATATAGAATAAATAGTATTGTTGGAAGGCTTCCTACAAACTAGATGGGTAAAATACTACGGAGTATTTACTTGTTAAAAATGAATTTACCAACCCATTTTTAACATCTCCATACACTGAATACATTCTTCATTTTACTAATTTACCAAATCTCTTTTTATAAAACGAGGAAAAACTAATTATGCCCCCTAAGGTTATGTTTGAAAACAATGTCACTGATCAGCATTGACATTTTTAGAATAATGTTTAGTGACATAAATTATTTTTTAAAATGTTAATGCTAGAAAACCTTTCATTAAAATCCTAAATCTAAATACTAAAATTCATGGCTTCGTTAGGGAAACATGTTTTCAGTTAACATTTTGAATTACTTTGTAATAGTTCAAATTAAATTTAAAATACTAAGGATGAAGGTCAAAAATAGGAATAAAATAAAAGAAAAAAACCTAAAATAGGTTTTCATATTTTTATCCCAAATATGAAAATTATAATATTAATAATGTCAATATATGATATTCTGTACAAAAAAACATTATGGAAGGTCAATGTATACATTGTCACACTAAAGTTTTATATTGTGGATAAAAATGTCACTCCTTTGAGAACAATGAATAGATTTTACTTTGATTTTGGGTGATTTTAGAAAAGCCAAATCTAACATTATCATTAAAAAGTATATTCAAGTTTTAAACTTTTAGCATTAATTTGGTCCCAAATTAATCCTCTTTATTTAATTTTGGTCCCAAATTAATCTCACTTTTTATAAAAAGTTTTTCACTTTTTTTTGAACAACCTTTTTTTTTCTTTCTCTTGCATCATTTTCAATCATATAATTTAGTTTTTTACTCTATGTGTGTCATTTGCTAACCATTGTGTCACCATGTCCCAATTGATATATTTCATCTGCTCATTGTTGCTTAACAAAGACATCCAAAATTATTTCGGCCTTTAATTATTTATTGGATTATTTATTTATTTATTTATGACTACTTGGAGGGGAGACCATAATAGTAAAATGTGGAGTGAGAAATTGGGCAATAAAATTCAACACAACAACAATTTGACCCCACCCCCACCCAGCGATCAATTCTCATACCACTGGGGAGACTCACTATTAAATGATTGACCACACTTTGAAGTTTGAAATCCTAAAGTCCATAGCTCATTAAGTCTGCCATAATTTTAACTAAAAGTGTGTGTTTTGTCAATTTACTCCAATCCTTTTCCCAAGTGAAGTTTTGGAGTTGGTTTAGCATATTTGATTAAGTTGTTTTTAATTTTTTGAGTAAATTCCATAAAAGATCTCTATTTATATGTTGTTTTTCATATTTAGCCATACATATCAAATATTACTAATTTAGTCCTCAATTATTATATTCATTTCCACAAATGGTCCTTTGTTAACATTTCCGTTAAAAACGTGGATAAAATTGTAAATTCACACTCTTTTGTCTCGTCAATTAAACTTCTTCTCTCTCATCGCATTCTTTTCCCAAACTCGTCGCTGAGTTGGAAGCTTTGAACCCAAAATCGAAATCATCAATCTTCTCGCAATTGTTTGTCTAACTGGTGGAACCCAAATTCGAAACCAGTAACCTTCATGGATGAGATTTAATGTTTATTTTCTTTGCAATTTTTTTGAGACTAACCGATAAAACTCATTCATAAAGCTTATTGGTTTTGATTTTAGGTTCCACCAGGAAGATTAATAATTGAGAGAAGAATGATCATTTCAGTTTTGGGTTTAGAATTTCAAACTTAGCTACGAGTTTGGGAAGGAGTACGAGAAGAGGGAGGATGCTTAATTGATGAGAGAGAAGTATGAATGTAATATTTTATCTATGTTCTTAACAAAAACGTTAACAAAAGACCATTCATAAAAAAGTATGTGGAGTATAATAATTGGGGACTAAATTAGTAATATTTGATATGCAGGGACTAAATATGTAAAACGACCTATAATTGGGGACCTTTTATGAAATTTACTCTAATTTTTTTTAGGGAAACTAGTGTATGATTAAAAAAACTTATATACTTAAGTTTTACGTCAAAATTCTATAGAACATGATGAGTCTATAGACTTGCCATTTGCCAAACAATCGATTTAACCTGATTTCCATTCGAGGCCTAACTTGAAAATATTGGATTTTGGGAGACGTGTTTTAAAGTTACGGCTAGGTTAAGAAGATTAGGGACTGCACGCAATTAAATCCTGATAGAATGCACTCCGTAATTAAAGGAATTAATAGTTATATGTCTCCTTTCACGTGGGTTGAGCTTCACTTCAAAACAAAATACGCTTCACAAATAGAAGATTAGACTCTGTTCTTTTGAGTGAAAGTTTAGAGTTACATGTTGGAAAAAAACTAGGAGTTGGAAAAAATTGAAAAAATTTAAAAAATGTTAGAAAAATTTAAGTATTAAAAAGTCACTCAATTAAGTTATCACCCAAATGGATATTTAAGAAAACTCTAAATTTGAATTAAAAAAATAGTCATTGTTCATTATATATAAATGCATTTAAGTCATTGTCGGAAAAAAAACAAAAAAAAGTTGGAAAGAACCAGAAAGACTCTGAAAAAATTGAAAAGAGTTTGACAAAATTGGAAGATTTTTTAACCCAAAAGGAGAATATCTTAGATGGACGGAAGGAGTATAATTTATACGTAGTATTTTAGAAAATTTTATTTCATCAAACTATCAATAAAAAATATACAAGTAAATAAAATTTATTAACATGATAGAATAATAATAGTATAACTCATTTAGAAACGGAGTAATAATAGTAATCTGATACAATTGACCAAGGTCCCATTTGTGTATACCATATTCCATTAGAGTTAGCATTTTGGATAAAATTATAACAGTACATATTTACTTTGAAAAATCATTACGCTAAATGCTGACCGTAGATAACTTTTCAAAACGCTAAGACTAATTTTAATACTATTCCCAAACCGACCCTAAGTCTGAACATATCCATCTCCCTAAAATTTTATTAAAGTTTAACAACAAAGAATGTTCTTAAATTATTTTTTAATAGACACTAGGAGGGTTGGGCCCGCAAAAGCCCCATAAATCAGCCTTGGCCTACAATAAAATTTAGGCATAACCACTAAAACAAACATTTTCCTACCACCACCACCGACCCTTAAATTGAAGAGACTCCCCAAGCGACACTTCTCACGTACTCTCTCGTCCTATATCTTTCTTTCCGTTGCGCAAAACGAAAAAAAATTGTAAGTTTTTTCAATTTATTTTATTTAAATATTGGTATTGAAATAAAAAATAAATATACATATTTAAAAATTACATCAAAAGTTCAACAAAACAAGTAGTGACAAGAATATTTTATTTTATCATATAAGCCATGAAAAAACACAAATAAATATAAATTCCTGTGAAGTTGGAATAGTGTTCTGGAAAGAAAGTTTTAGGACGGAGGGAGTAATATTCTTTTGGAATGAAATGTAGCACTCCGGATATAGTTGAATAATTAGTGTTACATTTTGCCCTAAAAAAGAATTATCCCATCACTATGGTCTTATTATTTGTTTAATACCACCTCTGGTCTTAAAAACTTTCATGTTTTGATTTTTTTAGTCAAACAGTGACACTGTTTGACCAGAAAGTAAATATAATCTAAATAAATAAATGATATAAAAATTTGATATATCAAAACGATATTCTTAAATGAACCCAATCATATTCAGTTTATATTATAAATAAGTATACCTTTCTCACAAATTATACTCAAAGTGTTTTATTGTTTGACCAAAAAGTCAAAATAAAGAAAGTAAAATAATATTATCTTATCAGATCTACTATTTAGTACGGAGTAAAATTTTTACTTATTTATATACTCCCTCCGTTTTTTAA